GTGAGCACCTCCAGAGGTGTCTAGAAAGCACATCCTTTGAAGCCCCAGGTGAAATGCACCCTTGTAGCAGTTCCCCGTCACTCCCAAGCACTGCTTGCAGTGAAGGCCTGGGGTAAGCATGGTTTAATTAGTGCAGGGCCAGTGGCCAGAAGGGCCACCCAATTCTACAGAGGCGACGTCTACAGGTTGTGCGTGGTGGTATTTAAAGGTCTCTGGGCTGCCTTGAAGGAAAGGTGCAACTGGGATAGCAAGTTAAGAACCTGGTTCTGCATGAAAGAGGCCTGTGCTTAAATCCTAATCCTGTTACTTGCTGGTCAAGTAACACTTGGGCAGTTTATTCAAAATTTCCCAGCCTCAGTTTCCTCTATGGAAAATAGCATTTATAAAGCAGGGACACAGAACTGCTCAGTTAACAGAAGTAACTATGTTCGATAATCCAAAGTAACACAGATCTATCATGACTCCAATTCATATGCCACCCATGCCAAACACTTTTTTCAGATTCTAAAAATAACATAAAGTGGAACCCTGACTGGATGCGTGCGCGTCACGCCCTCTGTGGAGCGGAAAATTTGAGGCGCCTTGTTACTTTCAGCTCCATTCTCAGTGTCGTGTAACTCTTCACATCACCAGATGCCTTCCCTTAGGAAACAGGAGGCAGGAAGCTGTGATACAGAGCCGCACAAACAACCCGTGTGTCTGCCCACCCGACCCTGGGCGTCCTTTGCGTGTTTTTCCTTGCGGATTTGGGTGGCTTCACACAAGATTCTTGCTGAATGAATCCTAGATTGGATTACAGAGGCAGCTGGCAGTCTTTCAACTAAATTACGTCCTGTAAGTCTATAAATTTACTCAGAATCAAGTCACCAATTAGCAAGGGGAGTGTATAAAACCACAAATCTCTAGAAGCAAACGAGAAAATTAGATCAAAATTTATCCAAAGGTTTTAAAATATGATTCACCTGTGGGCCAGTTCCTGGTTTCAAGTGAAAGCCAAAAACAAGTTCAAGATTCACTGTTTTTTCCTCATTTTCCTCAGGTTCACCTCCTGAATCCTAAAACAGAAAACCAAGGGTCATTTATTCTAGGGTGTACTTTTACTTCTCAGATTTTTGTTTTTAAACTTTTCATTCTTCTTTGTTATTTAACTTTTGATTCCTTTGGGTTAGGCTACAAATTATAATTACCCAAGCAAGAAAACGTGCACAGTTTACCTTACCGAGGTATACTTAGAGGACTTTGCCGAAAGCTTTACCCCAAACCCTACAGGTTGAATGTCACTGTCTTACAATTTTCACAATGCATCTCTAAGTGTGCCATTTCATCTAGATGCGTGCTTAGCGCTTGCAGTTGGACCATGAAGCTTCACCTTGAGAGTCCATAGTAATTAAGATATTTGCAAGCTATTGACAAAAAGGAAATGTGCAGTCATACAGCATGGGGATGGAGGGCCAAGCAGAAGAACAAAATAAACCACAAGGGCCTAGAGATAGAAAACCACAGTCCTGTGAATTAGTGGTAACAATCTAATCTTACATATGTCTAGTGCACTAGTAGTCTTGCTTCGTTAGTGATAATCCACCACTCCAGTGTGTAAATTCCTACAGTCAGTTCCCTGTTGGACAAAGGCCTCCAGAGCCAGGTGGGAGGCCAGAGATCCTCACCTGCACTTTATACTTCTCTCCACAGCCACTCAGGTGACATGTGCTGTTAATAATTTCAGTATGTTAACATTTAGCATAAATGTGTTGTTAATATTTCAACTTGCAGGATGAAGGGTGTTCAGTTTATGTACATCCCAAGCTTCACTCAAAGGGGCTTTTGTTGGAAAGATATGATTAAATTTCACTTCAAACAATAGTTTCCGACACAAGCAAATTGAGGTGTGGATGTGGCAGGTGCCTATGTCAATAAAAGTAGCATATTTTCAGTGAGAAAAAAACCTTCCTTACCTTAATTAGTGGTGGGAAGTGAAACAAGTTTAGGTAATCGTAGGTTAATTTCTCAATGGCTGACTGTTGGGAAAAAAAAAATCACAACTTTAATTAATGACTCAATAATGCTGAGAAGATTAAAATTATTGTACACCTAGAAAGGCATTCTTTTTTATATATAGTTCATAAAATATTTGGGGCATGTTAATATGCAACCTCTATTGAGAATAAACCTGATTTTTCAAAGCATTTAAGGTAGTTGGTAATTATTTAGTGGAACAGGGAGATATTTTTAAGGATGTTAAAGCTCAGACTAAACAATAAATAAAACCATTCTTCAAACACCGGCAGAATATCGTGGTGACAAGTTAATGTTCTAGTGTGTAGAATGCAGTTGTTACCCCGAGTAACAACTGTGGGAAAACAACAAAGAACCTGAATATATCACCAGAGACTTTCCTGAAGGCTGAAATCTCACTCCAGGGGGTATCAGCTCGCAAGGGTTTTTCCACGGTTTTGTGTCCACCCCTCCCCTTTCCCGTGAAGCACAAAGAACTCTGAACCCAGAGGAGGACAATTTAAATTATGATTTTTAAAAATACTCATCAGATATAATTCAGCTTTTTTGTGAACTGAACCTATCACGTAGAGAATAAAAAAGTGCCAAGGTGAGAAAAATTAGATGCATTTTTAAAAAGTGAAATGAAAGCTGTTGACATTTGACAATGTAATGACACATATTGGCTGTTGAGTGGGATGCCACCGCCGCGTGGGGGCCTCTAGGCCCGGGGGAAGGCTGCTGAGACAGGCCAAGAGGAACAAGGCTAGCTGGAGAGTCTGCACTGGTTGGGTCCTCTGACCCAACGTAGGGGCTGAGAGGCTCTCCCGGGAGGGCTTCCACATGCTTATGTCTTCCTGAGAGAGAGCAGAGAAGGCCGCCCGCTCTGAGCTGTGTGTGTAAGAGGCTCTGACTTGTACTGAGAGGCCTTGGCGAGGATGGAGGTCCCCACCCGTGTCCCAGCCTGAGAGGACCAGCTGGAAGCCTTACTTCTCCCAGTGGCCCCAAAAGAGTATGTAGGACCCTCCCAGTGCAAGTTTCCATGACCCTTTCCCTTAATCTTTCTCTAACCAACTTATTTTTTGGAAGCACCCATCACCCAGGTAAGCTGGAGGGAGTACCACATTTGGCCAAGCACCTGGCTGGGGACACGAGGTAGAGGGCCCATATGCCCAACTGCAGAGACTTATCTTCTTGGGAACCAAGTGAGTTATGCACTTGGATGCAGAGACTCATCCAGGATGGCTCAGGCCCCTCACAGATGCTGCCCCCGCCTTTGCTACTCAGGGACAGATGCACTTCATCAGGGAATCAGGACATGGCATTGACCGCACCCCAACCACCTGCTTCCAGCGGGGGTCTGCCCTGTGCATGTGTCTCTTAGCTTCTCTATAACATCAAGTCCTATTTTTATTTATCTATTTATTTAAAATATTTATTTTTGCTTATTTATGCATACAAGAACTTAGGGCAGAGGTGGGAGGGGGCAGTGAGAGGACTCACCAAGACAGAGTGGGGAGCAGAATAGGTGACCTACTGAAATATACCACTGAGGGGAGCTGCAGGTAAGACAGGAGAGGTCTGCTGTGCCATGTGGGTCACCTCCCTGGCTGGGTATAGAACTCATGCTGCAGTGGCTGGGGACAGCTTCACAGTGCTGAGACTTTAACCCCTATGCCACCAGCGAGGCCCCACATCCTACTGTTATGCAGCATTTCAGCCTTTGTTTATTGAGGCACCATTCTCTTCTCCTTTCCTGACTTCTGGGAAGCTTCCTCTCATACTTCTCTCTCCCACCCAGGTTCCTTTGCCCTGTTTGTCACATTATCTTTTCTGAAGAGACATCTTCCATCAAGGAGAAAGCTTCCCAGCTGCAAGAAGCCTCTCCCTGGTCAGGCATGTACACATCGCTGGCTTTCCTTCTTTTTAGTAAAGATGAAATTCACATGCCATGAAATGAACCGTTTTAAAGTGCACAATTCAGAGGCATTTAGCCGTCCACAGAGTCGTGCAATTGCTACCTCTCTCTAACTCCAAAACTTTTTAATCACCCCCAAAGGGGACCAGGTCCCCATTAGCAGTCACTTTCCACTCCAAACTCCCTCAACCCCTGCAAACCAGTCACTACTTTTGGTCCATTTCTACTTTCATCCAGAAAGGCTTTGCCCTGTTAATGGAAATGTGCCATAGTGAGCGCTGTGTCTGCCTTCTCTCACTTGGCCCCAAGGCCCCCTTCTTGACAGCAGGTGTCCATATTTCACCACACTTTCCTTCGGAGCAGCTCTCTGACCCATGGCGTCTTCCCCTCCCCGCCCCCACCCAATCTCTCTCCATTCACATTTTCACTGGACTAGCCAAGTGTCAAGATATATTAGAACCTTAGAACTGATCTTTCAAAACCCAACACCTCCATCCTAATCTACTTCACACCAACCAGAAGCCATGTTTTAAACATGTCAATTGTCAAAACTTTCAGCGCTCCCCACAGCTGGTCAAATTCCACATCCCTAGCCTGAGGTGGGCTGTCTGGGGCTTCAACACTCTCCACTTCCTGTCCCAAGAGCTCTGTGTCCTCTGTGCTTCCCTCAGACAGCTGCTCTCTGTTCCCTCATCAGAACCAATTTTTAAAATCTGTTTCTTTTTATTCTCTTTTGTCTCTCTCTTACTCACTTAACTCCTTCTCTCTCTAGATTAATGTTTTTTCCTTTTCCCCCTCTTTCCTCTCCATTCCAAATTCTGCCCTGGCTCCAAGGTCCAGTTCCACAAGCTTTCCTCTCTCCTTCTGCACTGCCCGTCCTGAGCAGAGGGAAAACATCACTGCTCTCTCTCAACTGTTAAGAATATAAGGAGACACTGTAATGTCCATAGTTATCTCTTCTCTGGGATGTAAATTCCTGGAGGGCGGGCTCTTCTGTTAGCTCACAGGCCCTGCAGGCGAGTGGTAGACAGTCACTGAATTTACTGAACGCCAGGTTTGGGTGTTGCTTGCTTGACACCCACCAACGTGCTCGGACTGTCCTTGGCTACTACAGTGCCCACTGCCTTTCCTCCTCACTGTTCCTGGCTCTTTCCCAAAGACAGCAGAGTGGGGAGCAGACAGCCTCTTGGCTGACCCTAGCAAAATAGACAAGATTGACCAAATTTCTGTCTTGGAACCCAGGGCTTCTCTGTCTTAGAGAGGATAATTTCTCTTGCTGTCGTCCATCTAAGCCAGCCTAGCTTTCCAGGATGGATTTGGCACTCCCAGGGGTCAAGTTAAATTCTTTGTTCAGCCTCCAGATGAGGTGTCTGGTCCATCTTATGAGAAGGAAAAAACAGTGAGGGCCTTAATTTTATTTTTGGCAATGGTCTCTGGTGGGTGAAGAATGGGTGCAGAAGGCTGAAAGGAGGTTCCTTACATGGATCCAAGACCCGTAGGAGGGACATGGACATTTATTTGGGTCTCAGTGGGGACTTCTTTAGAAAAGTCTGTGTTGGCAGCTGTAACTGAGAAAAGGGAAAAGCAGTTGGCATGTTGCAAGAGTCTTCATGATGTGTGGACTTAGAAAGGAAGCTGATTTGTCTAGATATCTCTCTTTATTCTATTTCTTTTCTGACCTGGGCTGCCTCTGTCTCCACCAATACTGGGGTTTAAGTGGCTTGGTGAACAAACTGAATTTTATCCTAAGATCTCTCTTGAAACAGACCTCTGACTAATAGAATGTTCACACATATGCCAGCAATTCTTACTGGGCTTGGCTAATTAAACAAACAAAAAAGCAGGCCTGGTTGCTAAACTACAAAAGCAAAAAGCAATAATAATAGCACAACAATGAAAACAGGTTTAGCTTTGAAACTTACAGACAGAAGTTTTGGCGGAAGTGTTAGGATTTCCTGAGAAAATAAGGGACTAGAGGAACCAGATGGCAGTAGCTATTCCTGGTTAAAATACCGAGGATAGCAAATTTGACACAATTCCCTTGATTTTAAGTGCTGATGTGGCTTAGGTTACACTCAAGCCATGGACAGTCGGTGTCCTTAGGGACTTCTCTAATGGACATGTCACCTCCTACTATTCCTGGGCAGGTGGAAGCTCTCCAGGCACTACCCTGGCTTACCTCCAGGTCTTCTAGCACACGGCACGTCTCTCACACCAAGGCCTATCTGCAGGCAGGGCCTCCTGCTGGAACCCCTCTTTCCCTGCCCCCTCCCCAGGTAGCATCTACCTGTCCTTCAGCTCTCAACTCCTTCATAACCTCCTCACAGAAGCCTTTCCTCATCCCAAACACACCTCTCTTTTGTGGCACATCTTAGAGTTGTTGTTTAACCAAAGACTTCCTAAGAGCATGGGGAGGGTATTCATGTGTATCCAGGTGACATCTGCTGTGTCAGGTAATAACTTCTTTGCTGTTGAATTATTAAAATTATGAGGTGTAGGGGCCCTGTGGTGGCAGCAGCGAATATCAACTGCAGCAGAAGTACCATCACCACCAGGGGAGCCAGCTCCCACCCTTCGCCTCATACACATCACAAGATCTGCGACTTAGGATGGGCTCAACAAAGCTGTGTCAACTGAGAGTTCCCCCTTGGAAGTTACCTTTAAATGGATGATGTGTCCCTTGGAGACAATACCCATGTCTTTCAAGTCTTCTTCCTCCAGAAGCAGCAGTCGCTTTCCTGTAATGTTGTTTTCCTTAAACAAGCTCGCATAGATGCTCATCTCTGCTGAAGAGTCACCTGAGGTGGAGAGCAAATTAACCTTAGACTAAATCATGTCCAAAACAAAGTTAATTCCATGAATTAAGAAGGGAAGTTATTTCACTTGCCTTTTCTGACGAGCTGCTGAACCCAAAAATACTGTGAAAGAGAGAACATACATGATTTTGAAGATTTATACATGGTCAGTGGCCATACTTAACAACAGAACACAAAATCTTTGACAGATTAAAATATCTTCTGCTCTTGGCATAACCCCAAAGGTAAAATATAAACTTCTTTTTTTATAGCTTTAAATCTTCAAGTTTTCACATTGGGGCAATCCTTCTTTTTGGGGGTCTTGGACACATGAGGGATTATTAATGTTCCTCCTTATTTAGGAGAAAAAAAATCTTTTCAAGAAGTTTCTACTTAACAGTGATTTTTCTACAAACATGCCTATGGTTCCCTGGGTTGTTGAGAGGTGCTGATTTATCCAGGAAAAGTATATGAATAGTAGGGACCACACAGTCAGGCAGAGAGGAACAGCAGGGGTGATATACCCCCTGGCCAAGGTTGAAGCATGGAGCTTTCTGAATAGCATAAGGATGGACCCAGTGACCATCAGCCCTGGAATTTCACTTGGTACATGTGTACTGATCATCTCTCCCATTACTTGGGCAGAGGGAGGTAGAAGGAAGGCTAAACCCAGACCTACCAAAGCTCTCCAGTGCTCTTGACCCTGGAATTTTATTAAAATGACTAAAAATAGCTGTAAAGAGTTCAATGCCTTTAAAACAGTTTCTTCTCAAGTAAGATGGGTCAACTTTGCAGATGAGGATAAAGGGATTATATCCAGGCCTGTGAATAAAGGAGACCCTAAGTCCTCTTTCTTTATTAAGCAGGGCTGGCAGGAAACTGAGAATCACCAGGGTGCGGTGAACGGAAGTAGAGACAACGACCGCCAAGTTTCCTTTCCCTGTAGAGCCTACCAGGCGAGCTCATACTGAAAGCCGTTTTCCTTCACCAGAGTACGGGGTGCAGTGAAGGAAGGCCCCCCCCCACCCCCTGTTCAGAAACTGGTTGACGTAGGTAGATAGACCTTCTGAGTTTCTAGTAGTGAGTTTGTATTTTGAGACACCTGGGGACCTGTAAAGCTGCCATTACAGCTTTGTCTTTTCTTTTTTATTAAATAATACTCTGAGCCAATAAAATGGACTTGGATAAACATAAGTCCCAGAGGTTTCGACCAAGAATTCCCACACCTGTTTGGGACCTGCTAAAGCTGCCATTACAGCTTTATCTTTTCTTTTCTATTAAATAATACTCTGAGTCAATAAAATGGACTTGGATAGACACAAGTCCCAGGTTTCAAACAAGAATTCCCACATGTTTATCACCAAGGATTCAGATGCTAAGTCGGAGTGCTTCTTAGGTTCTCCTCCCAGAGTGTAGGGTTAGGTCTTCCATGAACCTGAGTCTGTCTGAATTCTCAAAAACTGCACCCTTCTCTGGCTTTGGCTCACAGTCTGCCTGGGAGCTCTGTCTCTCTCTTTTCTGGGGAAGACATTGCAGATGGTAGGTAGGAACCTGGACTTCTGAACAGGCGGCCAAAGGCAGAAAGGAAAGTTTGAGGAATCCCAGTTCTGCACTGTGCTAACCAGCTCTTTTCCCACCACAACACAGAGTCTTCTCTACAATTTTAGGAAACATGAAGATCAATTATTTTTTCAAGAATATTCTTCAGATATTCTGGTTCGCTCCTTTAATTATTGTAACTGGTATTCATTCTTATTTCCTAGAGTACCCTTTAGAGCAAATAAGGAGGTGGAATGGGATGGGAAGGGATTTGCTCTGCTTTGGAGACCTTATTTAAATCATTACTGCACTAACAATAGAAAGCCATGGAGTATGTTAAGACTTTCCTAAGTTAAGACTTCCCTAAGGCCTGCAGACCTTTAGCTACATTGAAAACTTGTGGGAACACCTCCCAGGTTGCGTGAGGCATTAACAGAAGCAGCTTACCACGTCCTCCTCGGTCCATGCGCCGATCTCAAAGGAAGGCAGCAGCTGCGTGGGAAACATGAATGAAATGAAAAAAAAAAAAAAAAAGGTAATAACACCATTGTCTTCTCTGGCTCATCCCTTTGTCTCACTAGCTGTTGGCTGTTGCCTTGATTTGGTTCCTCCTGTTGGTTAAGTTGAATGTAAAGCAATTCTTCTGACCGTAAGAGGACCTCGTCACTGTCCCAAGGGCACTGGCCAGAGAAGCCAGTCAGTGCTTCCTCAGTCATAGCCCACTGCTCTCTGTGAGTCACTGCATCGTACATCTTGCAGATTTCCGCTCCTGGGACTTGGCATGCACGGTATTGTTGCACCCCACATTAGGGCCATGGCAGGCGAGGAATTTCTGACATTTGTCAGATACCTGAGCCTTCTTCGGAATTCTCAATCAACATGAGTATTGCTTGATTATTAATGAAAATTCCAAAGCAACCACTTGGTAATCAGAAAATTTTTATGGTTAACAGGGAAATGTCTATGTGTTTAACTAAATGTCTCATTTGCATTATGTATGTGTGAATGTGTGTAATTTTTATTTTTATATTGCATTATATTTTATAAGAGTTATTTATGCCCTAGAGCCCTAGAACTGGGGTCTAGGGCACCAGAAGTGGGGGAGGGTGTTGAGAGGATTAACCAGAGACAGAGTGGGGAGAACAGGCAGATCCACTGAAATACACTGCTGAGGGGAGCAACGGGTGAGAAAGGAAAGGTCTGTTGCCAAACGTGGGTCAGCAACCTGGCTGGGGATGGAGCTCAAGCCACAGTGGCTGGTGACAGCACTGAGACTTTAACCCCTGCACTACCAGGGAGGCACAACACTTGCATTGTATTTTTTTTTTTTATAGGAGAACATGGGGGAGTTTGGGGGGTCTGGGAGGCAAAACAGAAGCAGTTTTGCATTGTATTTTTAAGACCAAATAGGATTTAGGGATGAAGGACAGAACTCCAGGATGCACAGCTGCTCTAGCTAAAACTAGAAAGATCTTGGTCAGGTCAGCCTGCACCATTTTCAAAAACAGAGCTACTCACTTCAGTAGATGCCCAGAGCTAGCTAATAAAGCCTTACATTACAGGGGATTGGGGTGGGGATGAGGGGGATCTGTGTTCTCTGAGTGGAATTAAGGGTATGGTATAGCCATTAGCATTCACTAATTTAAGTTGCCAAAATGGTTGGCTTGTTCTCGAGAGAATGTGGCAAGGGATCATTCAACCTCTGTGACAAATAACTTCTGTGGGTGAATTGACATGAAGAAGTTGAAATTGGTTGTACTTACTATTAGTGTAAAAAGCAGAGGGTGTTGATTAATCCTTCTAATGCACAGGCATTGTGACTCATGTACTCAAAACCCTGCCAGGACAGGTGCACCCCACCTCAAGCAACTTCTAATTTAATCTAATCATTAAATTAAAAAGATATGGCTTATACACGGAACTGTTCAAGGCTACCCTCATCTTGGTTTACTCAGGGCTAAGAAGAGTGTTTGGCACAATGGCTGATAAATTTGTTGAATAGTTTGTTGAATAAATAAAATTAAATAGAACTAAATTCTCTGGCATGGAGTTCCATGTCTATGGAGATGCCAGGGAAAACGTGGGGTTTACAGACAGAGACGGGAGAATGGAGGCATAATGGCTTGAGCTGGGCACTGAACAGAAGGGAGAAGAGAGGCGATTACAAGGCAAACACTGGGGCGAGGAAAAAGTGCAGGCCAAGTATGCTTGATAGGAGCACCCGAAGCTGTAGGTACATGAGGCCAACACGAGGAATGGCGCACGGTTTTTTAAAAAAAACACCCAGTGGTTACAATAAATATGTTTGTGTAGTGCTTGCATATAGTACAAATAATTTGCAAGGGCCTATGAAGTTACTACTCTATAGACCCTGCTACTGCCATGTGTTCTGTTTCCCTCCAAATTGCCCCTTCCCTCCTATGGAATTCTGATGTAGGTAGAAATCATCCAAGGTACTCACCTGCTTTAATAGTGCAGAAAGGAAAATGACTTGAGGGATAGATTCTAAAACTGAAGTTGATCAAAGGAAATTATGACAAGTTTTATTTCTTCACAGGGCAGCTGGATACAGCTGCAGAAACATGTCATTCCCTTTCCCATGATGGAAACAAATGTGAAAGAAGGAACTTTTTTTGATTAGTTCAAGAAACAACAAACTGAGTTACAGAAATATTTCCCTGCGTCAAGGCTGGCTTTTATAGCGAGTAGGGGGGATGCGTAGTGTTTTGATTTGTAGACGATTCCCAAATGTTGTACTGAACAAAATTGATAAGTAAGTATTTCTTAAATAGAATAAAGGTTGGAAGTGAAACAACTAATCAAAACCAACATCTCTGGTTTTCACGTCAAAAGAACTGTCTTGGCTCTCAGCATAGCTCATGATGGAATTGCCAAGGGAAGGCGCTGGCTTGGGGTGGCATTTGCTCTGGTGGGCTTTTTGTACCAAGCTCACAAGATGGGGTGTGTGTGGGGGTGGGTGGGGGGGGGGTAGGAGCCAGGCTTCCAGACAGTTAGAATCTGGCCAGTCAGGGGGTAAAAGTTAATGATCTCCAGCCACACAGTGGCTTACTGTTCCCTTTATGCTGTATGTATCGTGTTAACAAATCAATGACTCTCTGTCCTTCTTTGGAGTTAAAAAAAACCCCACAGCCCCACCTTGTGACTGCCCCATCACTTCACAAATTCATTATTTACACTCCTATTGATTTCAGATGAGTAAAGCTTGTGCTCACGTGTGCACACTTGACAATGCTTCCTTCAAAGGATGTTGGGAATCCAAGCTAGTGAACATCCGATATACACAGCAACACATAACAAAGGGATTTACTGTCAAAATGTTTATTGCAAAATGGATCTTAGAACAAAGGAAAGCAAAGAAAAGTTCACATCAAAACAAAATGTATGACACCAACCTGGATTTCTGAATACATTGTGGACTTTGTGCTGGAATATCAAATTCCAATGAAGTCAATAACTGAGTAGTCTTACCACACAAGAGAAAAATTTAATGCTCCATACAAACATTATACAAGGTATTTGGCATAGGGCTTGCTCAGAATAACATTGCAATAGTATAACTGAGAAAAAGGTTTGTTAAAAAAAAAAAATAAAGTGATAATGCCATCTATTCCAAGCTCACACTCAAAGAATATAAATATTTTCTATTATTGAGTACAAAAATTTTAACAGTGCAAAAGCATTATGTGCAGTGCATTGTACCTGACATGAAAAGATAGACTACTCTGCACACGATATAAAATAATTAATGTAGGTGCGTGAAATTCTAGTTTTGAAGTAAATAATCACATGCCAGAAGCTCTCAGGCAGTAGAGTGCAAACTAAGTTGGAATCGGAGGAAGTGTAGCTAGTCCTCCAGATTTCCTGGTAGACGCTCATTTTTTATCACAGAAATGCTACATCTAGAGCTATCAGGCTGTGCTACCATCAAAAGAACACAACGGATTCTTCTCACTGGCAATGCTAAAAATCTAAACAGGAAATCAGTCTTAAACAGAAACAGCAAAAGGTGCCTGATTATAGAAAAATCACGCTCTATTATATGGGTGGTATGGTGAAACCGCTAGTTTCAAAAGAGTTGCAACAAGTCTAGTGTATTAAGAATAAAAAAAAAAGGATCAATATTTAACACAGAAAAAGTTTTAAAATTATCTTTCATGAGTTTCTTACTGCTCCAATGAAAAGTCTAAATAGTTATGTACATAATAGTGTTAGGAGAAGTCAGTGTAGATGGCTTCCAAACCACCCTCCATCCCCAAATCATTGATTATGATGGGATTAAGGTTGAATACCTTGACTAACAAATTTCACAGGGCTACTGTGTGTTAAAAATCACTGACTTAAAACCAACCCTCAACAGTTACAAAGCATCAAAAACCAAACATGCTATGTGTGCCTCTGACCTATTCCCATTGGTTATTTATGCAAAATAGTAAAGTAGGACTTTGTCAAAAAGAAAAAAAAAGGGTGGTAGGGGGCGACAGGACTAGGAAAAGGTCCTTTAACTAAACCTGGCTACTTAGTAGAATCGCAGCCATCTCAATGATGCTTTCCTTTTACATTTCTTGTGGATCTAGTGCAACAGGAGGGTGACACTACACCCCCAGGGAAGTTTAACTGTTTCACAGTTTCCAGCAGCACTCTTAGAGGGAAAAACCCATTTCCACAAAATGGCGATTTACAGCAAACGCCACAAACCTACAAAATTCATTTTGTGTAGTAGTTATAATTCTGAAAGTGCATCTTCTGAATGGGGTTATTTTGTTAGGAAACATTAAAGGTGGACCCTGCAACTGCCAGGATCTCTTTGCAGCAGGAAACAATGCTACAGGTATTTTGGATGGAATTCTTTACTGAGTGAGATGGCCTCGGCACTAATTCACCCCAGTTTCAGTGACAACCAAAAATGATCTCACTACCCTGAGATCTCCTAATGGCATGTCATCAACTTCTACATGATTAACCTTAGGAGTCTTCACATTAAGATGAAAGTAGTTGTATTTTCATTTGTATGGCTCCCAACAGTTATTACCACAATTAAGTTTCAATTCTTACTTTGAATCTTTATGTTTCTCATAACTCTTTACAAATATATACATACATATGTAAGTCCAGCAACTGGAACTAAATCCACCACCAATTTGCCATTTTGAAAAACTGATCAGAAAGTCAGTTAGAAGCTCTATAAACATCATCATTAGAAATCCTGTATATGGGTAATAAGCATTACTTTATTCACGTTAATAAAATGAAGAGAGTCTAAAATCTTCTAAATAATTATTGTAGATGGAATGAAGTCCCTTTAAAATACTATCTATGTGATTCAGATTTCAAGGATGTTCCAAACTCTAGAAAAACACTGATTTGAACAGAAGGTAATATAGCCAGGTCACATGGTAATTATCTATCATCCAGTTCTAGGTGAGCAATTTCAAACTTATGAATGAGGTCATCAATTCTATTGTATCCAAAAC